GCTTTCTTCAGAGTGTCTGGTATGATGCTATGTTTTTGTTCCAGAAGAAATATTGATAACACACCAATGTTTATACTTGCTGCTGAGCAGTGTTGTACAGAGCCAAGGCTATTCTCTGTGAAGGGCCTGAGGAGCTGAGACAGAATTGGGACAGTTGACTTAAAGTGGCCAAAGGGATATTCTATACCATATGACATCACAGGGAAGGGGTTTTGAACGGGATGGGACTTCATCTGGATCTTTTTCACTGCTCAGGGGCTGACTGAGCATAGGCTGGGGGGGGGGGATGGTGAGCAATTATTTGTGCATCACGTGTTATATATATTCATATATATTTATATCTATATAGTCTATTATTCTCCTTTTCTCTGTTTTAGTAAGTAGTTTTATCTCAATCCATGAGTTCTACTTTGTGGGTTTTTTTCTCAATTCTCTCCCTTCTCCATTCCATTGAGAAGGGGGAAGAGGAAGAGAAGGTTTGTGTGGTGCTTAGCCATCTGCTGGGTTAAGCCACAAAGCCATCCACAGAACTTAAATTCTTTCCTAGGCTCCCTTAATCTAGTTTCAGTTTCGACAATGTCCTGTTAGTTTTAACAAGGGAAACCTCTCTTGTGTATACTTAAAATGTTGAGCCAAAGATTTTTTGCCAACCCAGTGATTTAATATTTCTTTTGTGTAAGTCCTTACTGGGGTTGCTTTTTTATTCTTCCTTGTTGCTCATTTTTTTCTTTTCTCCACAGTGGATTCCTACTACAACCTTCCATCCCTCCACAAGACTTCTTTTTCTCTGCCCCTGAATAGTTATTCCAACAACACTGCAACTCCAACTGATGTAAGAAGAAGACAGAAGGAGAGGCAGGGGCTGTATTCCAGCTCTGTGGATATCATCCTTGATGGCTGGGCTTAGAGAGGCAATATTTGAGGCAATACTGGAGCAGTCAGGCTATGGGGAACAGTGACTGGAGAAAAGACACTGCGTTCCCTCCTGGAGTGAGGGAAAGCGGGATGGCAGCAATGGATAGGAGCTGTACAAATAGCAAGGAATTATGTGGAAGCACATAGTCAGAGACTGGTTGAAGAAAGCAAGTAAATAGTTACTAGAAAGTCCACTCTAGTTACTGTTGCTGTTGTCTCCCTCTTTCCGTCCTTAACACTGACTAGAGCCACTCATCTGGTTATCTGTGAAAAAATATGGTTATTATGAAACATTCCGAAGTTATTTTTCTCTTCATAGATGAAAGAAGTTCCTAGGTTATTGTAATGGTCAGCTTCATGCCCACATCAGGTTCTTAAAACATGAGTGTTATATAAACGTACACAGAGAACAATTCTCACACTTCTATGTTATTTTCTGTTAGGTCCTAAACAATGTATACAATTTCTATATTATATAAATATACATAATAACATAGAATAAATCTATTATGTAGATATATATTATATAATATATTCTATTATACATATATATATAATGATTCAACTGAAATTGTGGACCAATATTATTTATGTAGAGGATATTTACCAGACATCACTATGTCACAGAATAATAATCATTTTTGATCCTCCAAAAAAAGCCCTTTGACAGTTGTGATGTCTATGCTCTAGTGACTGTGTTAAATGAAATTACTTCAATCATAATACATGATAATTTTGCTATTAAACACAGAATATTTAGCAAACAGAAATGCAAAGTCTAAAATCTCTACTGAAATATAATTGAAACTATTATAATGGTTTATAATGTCTAGTTTACAAGAAGTGAGTTATGATATTCATTGTCTTGTTTTCACTAATAAAATCTTTTTTCCATGGATGACAGAGGAGCAATTTCAATTGAGACATCATTTGTTCCTATTAAGCAATCTGTAGGTTGTTATTGACTCATGCCTTTGACCACTGCTTTGAATAAAGTTCAAGAATAATAAAATACTTTTATGTTTGGCTGACTTAATTTACTTGCAGAAAACAGACTATTATTTCATTTCTATGATTCTATGATTCATGTTACTGCATCTCCTAGAACTCTCTGTAGCACTATTGGCATAAAACAAACAAACAAAAACTAAGATAAATAAGGGATGTGCTATTGATATTTTTAAACATAGATGCCTCCAGAGTAAAGCTACTGTGTTCTGGCTTCCAGAAAGAGAGTATCTTAGAAGCTCCTTCAAGTAAAACATTAAGAGGTATGGAAAGTACATTTCCTGTTTTTATTGATTCTATGGAGGCAAGGAGAAGTGTAATATGATTTAACAGTAAGCTCTACTGTTTTCCCCTATTCTCAGAGTAGAATCAGCCAAAAAGAACATTTCTCCTAATAACATGTCAGCTAGTACTTCTCCTGTAAAACAAAACCTCATTGATGAATATCTATTTAAATTAAATTAACAATTGTATGATCAGTTATATTTTCAGGAAAGGACAGTTCCCTCTGGTTCTTTGTGATAAAAGTGTTTGAAACATCTTTTTCTGTGCTTTGCTGTTTACATAACCAATTCCTAATCATAAAAGTATGCATAGCATGAGGAAAAATGCAACCACATCTATTGATAAAATGATAGAGAAATTGGAATATCCAGCTGATAATCCATCCTGTTCCCACCAATATTTTAAATTTTTCTGATTTTTAGATCCTGTTGTGGTACATATTACTCACCTCCTAAATATTTTTGTACTATTTCTGATACTGTCATTAATGAATAAAACCTAATTAGCACAGAGCAAGATTGATAAGCACCCTACAGCAATGCTTTATACATAAATCCTCTAGGATGTTTTATTTTAAACATTCCCAAAGCCTGCTAGGCAGCTAACTCTTCACAGGAGTATGTGTAGGCAGCAATCAATTTTTTAAGCTATGACTTGAGCAATCAGACAGTGACACGAGTCAGATACTATTAATAACCCAAAAGCAAGCAATCTCATGAGGTGTTTCTCAAGTAGCTAAGAAGAAACTGTCTAGTTATGTCATTAAGTGTAAGACCCAAAAGACTATATAAAGAGTAGCTGGAATGTACAATAATTACAGAGTATTTAGAAAATTCTACCTGGAAAAAGGAAAATTTTCAAAGAACAGCAAAACATTACCAATCTGCCCACAAATCTGCCCACAGACACAAATCTGTGTCTGTATATATTACAAATAAGGAAGTATGTGGGCTTCATGGTCATGGTACATGCTACTAATTAGTCACAAAACAAAAAACAGTCTCAGCTTTTCAAAAGGACCAAGCTTTACAGGATCAACTCTGACAATAATGTCTCTACCCTTAATTAGCTTAATGATGCTATGACTCCATGCAACGTCTCTAATTGCAGCCTCAAAGACATCATGAAATGGTACATCTTATAAAAAATGACAGCTAAAGATAGTATACTGTTAAGATAATATTGAAAATGCACTGATGTCACACTTGCTGTTTCCATTTAAAGCTTGCAGCATTGATCTATAAAACCTGTAAAGTTGGCAGACTCAACATCACCTTAAGAACTATGCTAATATCTCCATGGCAAGTCTGAGAACTGGGTATAAACATAATTAGTAAAAACAAAGGCTGAGGTCTTCAATAAGACACAAACTTTGGAATGTCCTTTACAGAAAAAAACCTAAGACATGATTGAATTTCAGAAGACTAATGTGGCATTCTGTGTGATGATCTTATTTAGAGGAATGTATCTTTCTGAGTTCCTTAAGTGATTCCAAACCAAATCATAAAAAATTATTACCATTTTTCAGCAGCAGTCATAAAGGTGAGGTTATTTCTACACTCTGCAAGTTAGCTACTTCTGAGAATTTTAAGTAAATAAGGACTTTAATAACTGACCTATTTCAAATATACTGTAAAATTCAAGGCATTCACCAAAAATACTAGAACATAAAAAACACCTGACAGCATGCCCTAGAGTAGAAATTGAAAGGTGTAAAACAAACAGTACATTTTACAGTAAAAACAGAAATGAAAAATCAGATCTTAGCAGACCTGTAAGAGTGCTACGGAGAAGACTGGGAATCTTTCAAATTCAATACACTTAGTCTTGGAGGAAGGTACTTAGGAGGATATTTTATTACAAAATCTATGTTAACTGTGTCAGCTTTCAAGCAAGTCTACCTTTTCCCTCAGAAAAACAAGTGCATAGCACAGACAGACCGAGCATGAACTCAAATAGAAAGAAAAGGTTTGGGAAGCACTGTCCTTTCTTCCAGGGCAATATTAACTATTAACGTATGCTATGCTTCCAAGCCACATATCTCCCAAGAAACTATAACTAAAAAATTCTATTAAGTTCCATAGCAATTATGTAGTAACTACTCTTGTTCACTCATTTATAGAGTAGCTACATTTTGTTTACAAGATTTGTTGTCATTATCTTTCTAATGCTTGCAGAGTGTTCTGTGGCTATTTAAGCAAAATGGTACGTGCATAACAGAAATGATTATGATACCACTATCAATCACTGGGGAAATTATTGTACTGTTAGAGATGATCTAGAGTCAACCAGTAAACTGGCACGCCCCATCTTGTTATAAAAGTTCAGCTGACTAATAAATAATAATAAGCAGCGAAATGCTAAACTCAGTTGTCATGACAATATTGCTTGTAAGAAAGAATGGGGGAAAAAAATCTCAACAGAACAACCAAGAAAAAGTTAAAGTAAAGTGTCCTGTTCCTACTCTACAAAAATATATGGGCAGAAGTAATTCAAATAAGGTATTGTTCACATTTTTACTAGAGGAACTGACTGCTTTTTAAGAGTTTTTTTTTCCATATTGCTTTGGGAATTAAGACAAAGTTAGTGATGAATATAACTTTCTATTAAGCAATTTTCTTTCTCAATTGTGCACAACCACTTATGAGCCAGAACATAACAGCTCAATCAAACCTTATTATATTAGCTTTACTTGAACCACTCTGAAATGTACTGAGAAAATTCTGATATTACTACAAGACATAGGGAAGAAAAAGACAACTTAGAATGAGGGAAGTGGATATCACAGCTACCTTTTTACAATCTCTTAATTTCTTCTTCCATATAGAATGAGCAACAGGAATGTGTTTGCTGTCAGTTACATAGCAGATCGCTGTGATCACATGGAGTAGCGTAGTCTTCTGGCTCATAGCCTGGAGGACTTTCTCAACATGACTGAGAGCAACTGTGGCCTCATTCCACACACCACCACTAACAAGCTGCATAGTACACGGTACTAGGCCAATCTGTCCAGCACAGTAGAGAATATCTCTGACCTAGAGGAATAAATAAATAAATAAAATTATAGGAGTACATAGGAAACAAAGGAAAAAATTTTCAATTTTCCAAGAAATTTCTCTCAGCACTACTGTTCTTTGCAATCCTTTATCAGTCGCTAAAAATGTAGCAAACGTCATTGTAAGGGCCAGTTTTGATAGGGCTTTATATATTTCACATGAATACAGCACCATAATAAACTTTAAACTAACAATTAATATATGGATGTATGCATCATCTCAAAATAATATCTGATGTAACTGATTGTTACAGCTTGTGTTAAGGCCCAATATGATTAAATACATTCTTGCTTTCTTTTAAGTAAGCTTCCATTTCTTTTCAATGTTCCATTTGTTTCACTGTACATTTTCAGAGTGAGAATGCACACTGTCTTTCAGAGTATTACAAAAATCATCATAAACCTCTCGAAGGTAAAAGCAAATTGCAGATTGAAAATAAGATGCAAAAGAGTGCTACTTAATTAGAGATGAGTTTGTCTTTTGAAAATTGAATTAAATGGGCGGTCAGATACGCCACAAATATATGTTAAACCAAACTGCAATGCAGTTACCTCGGGCTGATTTTCCTATATTTTCCCAGCACCACTGAACACCTGTTTTCTTGAAAGCAGGCAGAAAAGGAAATTTTTATTCTTACAATTCAGACATCTCACAGATTTATTATAAAACCTTAATGTAAACATCAGAACTTTTCATCCTCTTATTCTGTACTTCTCTACAAGGTCTATACATTTCCTGATCAGAGAAGCAATGAATATTCTTCCAAATCAGAAGAAAACTAAGCATAGAAGTGGGAAGTAAGGTGGGCGTAATCAGTTTTGAAGACTGCACAGGAAGCAATTTGCTGTAGAGAAGGGAAATGGACTGAGCAAGAAATCTTCAGAAATTTTTTTCCAGAAGTTACTGTAAAAACTGTAAAAATTCTTTACAATTAAGAATAATTAAAAAAGAAATCTGTGTCCTAGAAGACATGGCAATCAAACCATGTGACAGACCCATATGCAACTCCAAATCTGTCCTCATAACTGTCTGTGCCTCACAAAAGACTCACACATGTAACTATTGGAAGAGTATCTTATACAATTTGGCATACAAGTTCTATGATTAGCAGCTGAAGAGGGGGAGGAGGCAGAGAGGAAACATATCAACTGACACTCATCAACAATTTAAATTGGTTAAAATATCTGAAATATTATTTTGATAATTCTATATATAATCCTGAATTTTGAAAAAATATGCAAGTAATGTTTTACTTTATAGGAACAAATGGTCTTTTTTTTTTTTTTTTTTTCCTAGTGCTATTTTAAAATATGTGCCATTGAACAAGGGAGTCCAGCCAGCTATCAAGTGGCATACTGACAGGATGAGAAAAAAATTCAGGAAGATATGACTCAGAGAGGCACAGGTTTGTTTTAAAATTAAGCCATTTATTTCTACCTCTGCTAAGTGAAATCCATGTATTAGTCAAAAACTCTGATACAGGTAGTTAATAGTTTACAGAAAAAAAATCACACTGGCAATATTTCTTCCTCTTTCTGTTGGGCTCCTGGTTTTCCATGCATTACCCATTTTAATTATTAGGTAGACAGAAGAGCTGTTCACCCAGTTCACTTCCTCTTTCTTGAACAGATTGTTTGAGACATAATATGAATACTAATTAATGATAAAATATCTGTCAGTGTTTTGAAATACGGACTAAGATAGCACTTTCTTAAAGTATCTTGGATAGTTCTGATACAATTAGCTACATTGATCATAAGCAAGGTCAAAAAATATCTCTGAAGGATTTGAGCAAAATTGGCACTGCTTTTGGCTCAAGTTCAGTGGGAATTTTGCAGAGTTCATTAAAAAAAATAATTAAAAAAACCTCCTCTGTTCCTAACATACTTGTTTGTATCTTAAGCTGTAATTAATAGAAAAACAGAATTCTCAACGTGCTACTATGCTATGAAAGGGTGGATTCAAGGGGGAAGAAGGGGAAAAGGGTCAAAAGGGGCCACAGGTTTTGAGCAACTGTACTTCAGGGGGACATAATTGAGAGTAAGGAGAGGGGGAGGGATGTTCTCCTCATTCCCAGAGACTTGGTCATGAAAAGCAAATATAAATAAACAATCAGCAGGGGCAAAGCAGCAAACCAGTAAAAACACTGTTTTAGCAGATTTCAAGAGGTTGTCTCCAGAGTGTTTGAAGCATTATACAGAAAATTGTTAGCAGAGTAAAAAGTATTTAAAACAGGGAAGATATCTTTTTCACAGTGCTGAACAACAGGAGATGTCACAATGTATGGTGCCAGTCCTTGTGTTGTGAAAGTGTTCAGCAAAATGCTGCTAGAATGCTGCAACAGTTTATCATTTTGGAGCATCTTCAAAGATAACATAAGATTTTTTCAGACTATAGATTCACAGTGTATCAACTCTAGAGGACTTCCATATTCAGTACATTCAGCACAGAAACAAAACTACAGTATAATGGCTGTGTAGTCAAACACTGATGATTTAATTTTCACTATATCCCATAGACATATTTCCAGTGCTAAAAATTCATTAAATATTAGGAAAAAATAGAAATAAAAATAACTTGTACTGCTGATATGCTCACTTATACAAATTCTTTTCCAATATATCTTCAGAGGACGCAGCAGTTTATAGACAGAGGCTCATGCAATTCCATTTTTTTACCCTTTTATTTTCATTTTACCACTGCAAGTTAAATGAAAGTTGAGCCTCCATAAGCTAGCACAATAATAAGGCAGCTCACTGTTTCAGTCTGCACAACTGTAAGTAATCAAGGGAATTCAACAATCAGAAATTCAGAGTAAGAAATTCATACATACAGGAATGCTAAGCACTTATTTAAGAATTACTGCTTTTCATTTTGTACTTATGCTGCAGGAAGTAGAACAGAGAGCTAGATCACAGCAAATACGAAGGAAAGTCAGTATGACAGCAAAGAATTATTCCACTTTTTTTAGCTGTCCTTCCTACATTCAGTTCTTATGAACTTAGAAATTCACATTTAAGAAGCAAAGTGTCCATGACTCTGCAAAATGGAAAAGTTGGGATGCTGCTTGGTGCTGCTTCAAGTTGTTCTAGCACTCGGAAAATTTTTTAACAATATTGTGAGACACAACACATCTGCATTATCAGGATGGCCCCTCCACAGAATATAACTCAGGAAAAGAAACAAGGGGAAAAACAGACTTGATTGGGCATAAGGACTAATCTAAAATATTAATTAATCAGAGAATGCTATAATTATTGCTATTTGCAAAGGAAAAAAAGTAACAGGATACCTCTAGATTTGCACATTCTTGTTTTGTTTGTTTTTGTTAACAAAGGCCAATAGCAATTCCAGAAACTTTATAAAACTTTTCCTAATGGTATTATTAAAACTTGCTAGTGATTGAGTAGCACAAATATTAAAAGTGCAGAGATTTTTTAATAGAGACATTTTGACCATTCACCTATAGGTTTTTATGCCAGTGTTAATATTTGCACTATATGAACCAATACACTTTTCTTTGAAAGGGTGAAGTCAATATGCAATTAACCAAACCTTTATTCTGAAAGCAGTATGGTGTCTGAGTGACTGCTGCCCTTTAACAGGTCAGGGTACACAAAAGATTCAGTGACCCTTTGACCTAACAGTGAAATAGCCTACCATTATGCTCAGTCAATGTAAATAAGCATAACTGACAATGTGCTAATAGGCTGCCTCTGGTCATCCATGTGTACCTCTGACCTTAATGAAGACCTAAATCAATTAATACTCCAGGCAATAAAGACCTCTGGCTGATTAAGTTAGCTAGAAATCATCTTTTCTAACAGGATTAGAGCTATAAGGTGGTGAACTTTTTATTTAATATATGATAATCCTTTCTTCCTAGGGCCCTTTTATTTTAGCTAATGATGGTAAAATTGCTTTTTGCAATGTGAAATCTTTTATTCAACTACCCAATGTGAATAAAGTTTTAAAGGTACCATTTAGACAATGGTAACTGAAAGGCTCTGAGTTCATACTATGAACACAAATTACATCTGATTAAAATGCTTCCAATACATCACAGTCTCCAACATAATGCGTGTTTTTTCTTAAACTATTTAGCCTACAAATGTGTAGGCTAAAAATTCAATAAATAAGTTGGTCATACATAGTTTAGCTTTATTCAGGTTTTTTTTTTTTGAGAATATGAGCTTAATATCAGCAGCCAAAAGACAAAGAATATAATCCCAAATGAAAAATCAAAAAATTGTTTTTACTATCCTTAACTAAACAGAAATTGACTCACGTGAGAATCTACTTATAACTTAAGTAAGATGCTTGTATATTGCCCTAAAAAATGCAGAACTTTTCTTTAATAAAGTAACTGCTTCTCTCAGGTTCAAAAGAGCATAACTAATCAATGGTATCTGTTACTGCTTTCTTACTGAAATTTCTGTAACATTTCTGCAGCTTTCAGAGATTTGTAACTCAGTTTTCAAATGCTGTGATAGCAGCTAGCTAATTCTCAAGCTAAGTTGGAGCTTTGTATGTTTCAAAATCTATTTGATTACCTAATCTGCATAATTACAGAATATTCATCTTCTTGTATTGTCCTTCACTATTACAAATTTATATTATCAAAATGTGGTACAATTTTTTCTCTTTGAACTTTTATTTGTGCTTTCTAAGCCACAACAAACATCCACTGAGTATTTCTGTAGCAAGAACTACACTACATACTACACTTGTCTATACAATTGTGTTTTTAAACTGTAATTTAGCAAAATTAACATACACTGTCCAAGTCATATCTGACACTGACCAAATTTGTGCATTTCTTAATTAGAAACTATAGAAAAGAGAAGCACCATGTCCCGTATTATGTACAAAAATAAATAGTTTAAAAGGACTACTAAATCAACAATCCATCTGAAAAAGCCACAATATTCATTGTTGTAAGTACTAAAACAACTTTTAAAAGTTCTTCTAAATATCTC